AACCATTTCTCTGGAAGTTCTTTGACGAAGACGAAAGCAAAAATTAAGTCTTCACTATATTCAACAATAACCAAAAAATATACTGAAAAAAGTAATTTTTTTAGGGAAATAATGGAATGAAACATAAATAATAGATAAAGTCACGTAATAATGCTTTTAAAATCACATCTATTAGATGTAACAGAATTTCTTAAAATACATAAACTGACTTATATGCAGTATTAAAAACTTAAAAAAAATGATTTTTATAATACATTTATAACTAATGAGGCATAATTTAAAACTGACAAAGTAAACAATTTTGTAGGTTAGAATAAATATTGTGTGAAATTAAAAGTTTGAAAAGGAAGAAGATAATTGTAAACAAAAATATAAGAAAAATATGAAAGAAAAATGGAGTAAACCTGAATTTGAAGATGGATGAGACAGATCTCTCCTCTTGTATGTCTTGCATATATCATGGAGGGTAACTCCATTTATAACGATCAAATAGGAGGAAAAAAATTCTCAAGGTCTTTACGAAATGAAATGTACAATGATGTGAAACATAGAATTATAAGAGATTTTTCAATCTCGTAATCAAAATACTTTTAATTTAATTTAATTCAAATTTAAATACATTTAACATTCTCATAATTAAATACATTTAACATTCTCGGAATTGAAATTAATTAAATGAAGATACTAATGTCTCGATTTCCAAGAACTTTATTTTTAAAAAACATATAACCAAATATTTTAATATATATTAATGAATTAATAAATATGAATATACATTAATATAAAAAGATAAAACTTTATATAAATATATAATAAAAATAATAGAATAACAATACGTACTAACAAGGATGAAGCATTTGCTGGACATGAGTTTTTTCTTACTCCGTAAGGATGAACTATTTGATTTCTTCTATAAACTCTCTAAGAAGATAGAAAATGAAAAAGGCTATAAAATTGTTTCGATCAGAAGTGATCATGAGAGAAAGTTTGAAAATGAACATTTTTTAAAAATTTTGTGAAAATTCTGGCATTAATCACAACTTCTCAATTCTAAAGACACCACAACAAAATGAGGATGTTGAGAAGAAAAATATATCTTTACTTGAAAACAGATCTATATTAAATGATTTTAATAGTCCCAAGCACTTCTCAGCCGAAGGAGAGAACATAACTTGTTATCTTCATAATAGAATTTATACAAGACCTATACAAAACTCCATATGAATTTTGGAAGAATAGGAAACCCAACATTTCATACTTTTTTCGGATGTCAATGTTTCATTTTGAATATCAAAGATAATTTAAGAAATTTGACTTTGAGAGCAATAAAGGAATCATGCTTGGTTATTTTGAAACCGAAAAGAATTTAGAGTTTATAACTTTAGATTGTCTAAGGTGGAAGAAGTTATTCATGTCAAGTTTAATGACAATGAGCTTGACCATAAAACTTTAGAGCTAGACGATGCATTTTCTACATTACAGATAAGAGAGATAACGTCTAAACCTGCCAACACATCAACTACGCTAGAAGCGTCTATAGCTCCAAGCGAGTCAAGAGAAACCAAAGCGTCTAAACAAGAAGATGAGAATTCTGAAGAGAAAAGAGAGCCTAGTGGGTCACATCGTTTAATGAAGAAGAATCATCCAATGAATAAGATTATAGGTGACATTAAAGAGAGTTTCAAGACCAGATCATTCTACAAACAAAAGCCAACAGCTCTCATCTCCCAAGTTGAACCATCTAACGTCAATAAAGCTTTGGGAGATGACTCCTGGGTCAAGGCCATGCAAGAATAACTTGACCAGTTCCAGAAGAACGATGTTTGGAAGCTAGTGAAGCTATCCCAAGGCAAGCACATCATTGAAGCTAAGTGGATTGTTCGTAACAAGCTAGACAAAGATGGCAAGGTGGTAAGAAACAAGGCACAGGGCTTGTCGCAAAGGAGAGAGATTGTTAAGACAAAATGGTCTAGAAAGATTGGACTATCTAGCAACTCATATTTTAAAGTTTAAACATCTTATACTAAATGTAGCGTTTAAAAGAAATTTTACTAAAAAACAGTTGATCAACACAAGCAAATTAAAAGCGACATCTCTGGAGTTATAAAAGTTAGAACTATGATAAAAAACGTGTCTAAGACAAGCATTCTTAAATGCCATATATATTACATTTAAAAGCATAAACTTGTGCCAAACGATCAGTTCTGCATAACATGCCTAAACACTCTCTTAAAGTAAGAAAATTAAATGCATGGGACATACTGCACCGTTGTCTACTTTGTTTTCTTTCTCTTTATCAATACAGATAATGACAATACCAAAGCACACCGAAGCACGTTTAACAGATTTTGGTAATCAAACTCATAATCCGGTAGCACTGGCATACAATAGTACTTGTACGATAACCAGGAAGCGTGGTAATGAAGGCAATTAATTACACTTAAAAGAGACTCAAACATTACAAGAACCTCGTTGCTACTTGCTATGCTTTCTGGGCTGAGCAAGCTTGTGAAGTAGATCCTGGCTGAAAATGAAAAAGAATCAAAATCCAATGAGTTATTTACTAATTTTGTGTTCAAGAAAGAAATTGTGAAAATTACCTCACCACAGGCATGGACATCATCACAACCACACAAGAGCTTCCCATTGAGTTTATCCAAAGCTTTAAAGGATCCTCCTCCTTCACTTCTCTGCACAATGATCCTCAAACATAGCTAATATTAGAACGAATGAGTCAAAGGCTTATGCTTCAGCAACAAAATTAGTAGCAAAAGAGAAAACGTGCCAAAGTTCTACCTTGTAATAGTCAACAGCAACATAATTAGCCCACCTGTTGCCAGCAGCACCATGACAGGTTTTGAGCATGTCAACGAGACCTCCAGAGTTATCTTTACATGTGATTGGCTTAAGTGGAATAGTACGAAAATAGTTTATCAACACTAAGGACTTGCTCATGTCATCAAGAGGAGAAGATTCTTTTCTATTTGGACAACTTCCCGCTTTTCTTCCTCCATCTCCATCTGCGGAAATTAAGATCACACCAAAATGGAATAAAAATGTACTCCGCGTGAAGAACACGAAAGATTTAATGGTTGGTGATATCTTACACTGATTTTCAACCATGTAATTCCACTGGTATGCAATGCCTTCACTTTGTTCTTTAGATTTTCTTGAAGTGAACACAATTAGCCTTTGATTTTTAGCAACCATATCACTCACAAGAGGCCAGTCTCCTTTTTTTGGCATTCTTGTCACAGGAAACCAAAACTTCATCAAACCAGCTTCGGTGAAGACTCTTGTCAATCCTTTGGGTGTTTTAACATAATCCTCCAGTATGAGTGTGACAATTTCCTCTGGGTTGGCAGATAGAAAAGCTGCAACTTCCTTAAGTGTATCTATAGCTGGTTCCTACTTGTAGAATACAAAGTTAGGATCTTTATGTAGCTGAATTAGTGTTAGTCATAAATGTTTGTATTTTTGTAGAGAAAAGAGTTAGGAAAATCCTAGGCCAAAAAAAACACTACTGGGAAGATGAATTTTACATACAAAAGCTGTGAAGTCATTGCAGTGGCCTCCAAATGAATGACATAACCACACATCTCCATCAAAATCATACGCATCTAGCATTAGTCCCCGAACTCCATTCTACAGATGAAACATTGATGGCAGAAAATAGTGACCCTTAAACATCCTGGGAAGTAGTGAAACAGAACATCATAAAAGTTAATAGAAGATAAGGCTAGTAGTAACGAGTAACATACTTTTAGCTGCTGGGTTACACTGTCTTCTTGATTAATGATGGTGACTCGATGTACTCTTCTGTTAGATGGTTCTCCATCAATAGCAAAAGAATTGTGCGTTGTCAAAAAGGCATACTTGTTGAATGGAAGAGAATTATTCTATACCAAAAGAAGAAAAAAACAGAAGTTAAAAATTTGATTAAGAAGAAACAGTCCTAAATTTCCTTTTCTGTCTAAAGACACTGTACATATCTCATATTATAACTTATATTTCTCTTTTGGTATCCAAAAATAAATATAATAATACAAAGTCTTGAAAAATTTTCCTGATTTTTTCAAACAATAGCAGTTAATATTCAGTTCATGTAAAATGATGGAACTAGTTTCTATACATCACCAGAACCAAAACCCTGCCAAGTGTTCAAGTACTTTATATTATGTCGCTCGATGATGGCATTTCAAAAATCTCTAGGCATGTGTTGTGACAGTTTCTTGAGAAATAAGGCAAAGACCAAGGAGAAATGAGAATCTTACTATGAGCTTGAATTGATCTGTGACAGAAGATCTCACACACCTAAAGCCTGAAAACCCACGTGGACATGAGAAACAATAGAGTCCGGTTCCACAATCACCATTGGACGAGCACTCATCATTTAGCTGATCAAAGATTGAAAAACAAATATAATAATAATTTTGAAACTGAAAAGTTAAAGGCATGATTCAAACAATAGGTGGTAGGCTATACAAACCTTGCATTTTCCATTGGAGCAAGCAGCATCAACACAATAACACAAGGGAAGAATAATTACCAAAAGAAAGCTCGGAAGAGAACCCATTTGTTCTGTGACAAAGTTGGGTGTCTAAAAGGAAGTGATAACGAAAAGATAATCACAAATGATCTAATATATGTTAAAAATGAAAAGAGGGAAGCGACTCATGGCTTTCTCAATTCTTATGAACAACTGAAGTGTAAGAGGTTATGTATTTATGCTGCATTAATTATTGGAAATAAAGACAACTTAGTATTTCACTAATCTGAAAGTGTCCCCATCTTTTCATAGTTATCTTCTACTTTTAGAAAGCAACACCAACAGTTGAAGGGTTGTTTTGGATTTTTATTTGAGTGCTAGATCTTGGTGTTGACAATACAAGATTCTGGTTCAACAACTGTTGTTGATGCTACTACGGTAGAACAAAATATATAGCTTTTTCCTGTACATGTAAGTTACAAACAAAAACGCAGGAAAGATTATCCTTTTAAATCAAATACGCTCATAAGTAAAATGTACATGCATAGTGTTGTTTTCAAGACAACTTTCGCTAAAGGCTCGTATGGACTAATATTAACAAGAGACAAAGGAGGTAACCACTATTAAAATAGAGAGTTAATTTTAGAGTTTTTCATCTTCCAAATGCCATTGCCATTGCCAAACCAATATTACAAAAATTGAAAAGAAACATGAAAAATACAACAATAACCGTATTCTCTTCTTAATGCCATTGCCACTCAGCTTTTGTCATTTGTGTCTCAGTTCTAGGCTCATCACACTCCTTCACACATCTGCTCTCTCTTGCAACAAAAATGCATTTTCAAGAATCACTACCACTTCACCCATCGTTGGCCTCTCTTCAACTGATGCCAAACATCTCTGAACAATCTCAATGAACACTTTCCAACAAGCAGGTGCTATTTTTCCAATGAGAGATGGGTCAACAATCTTCTCAAGAACCCCCTTCCTTTCATCATCAAAGGCCCACTTAGCAAGGTACTCACATTCTCCACCTGGGGTTAAAAAACAAGCTTTCTTCCTACACAAAATCTCTAACATTACCACCCCAAAAGAGTACACATCTGATTTGTTTGATAACCTTCCAGTCATAAAATACTCCGGCTCCATGTATTCCAAACTAACCTCCAAGTTCTCCCTCAACTCAACTCTTGGTGGCTTTGGCCTTGACTCCTCTTGTGGGTGCTTCTTGCAAAGTCCAAAATCTGCCACTTTAGGCACCAAATTATGGTCCAAAAGAACGTTGCTTGATTTCACAGCACGGTGTATGATAGGTATCTTGGTTTCGAAGTAAATGTAGTGCAGTCCACGAGCCACCCCGATGCAGATGTTAAGTCTTTGTATCCATGACAAGGGAACAACACTGTTATTGTTGGTGCCATGCAAACAATCATGGAGGCTTCCATTGGAGACATAATCATACACAACAAACTTGTCATGTTTGTGATCACAGAAACCAACCAAAGGAACAACATTTGGGTGGTGTAGTTGACACAGAATCTTGACTTCGACCCTGAATTCTATATCACGATCTGGGCTTCTAGTCTTGAAGTGCTTGATGGCTACGTCTCCATGGCCTTTGAGGTGGGCTTTGTAGACCTGACATTGACCTTCTCCATTGACAATTAAACTCGGCATGAACCCATTTGTGGCTGCTTGAAGCTCAGCAAGAGAGAAGCGGTGACAGAGCTGTTCTATTGGATTACATTCGCTCGTGGTTTTGGATTATGTGGTGGTGAAAAATGGAAGAGAGCAAAAAGGAGCCATTTTTGGGTGGAATGGAATCCTGCGTCTGAAGAATATATAACTGAATGCTACTTACAAGATGCATGGTTCTCGCTGCTATGAATGGATGGATTGATTCAAACTATGGTCAAATTTGTGGGCTTGACTTGAAAACATGTGATCTTGAATGTGATTGCCATTGATTGCTGCAATTTGTCATCTGCCATTGGAAGAATTATCACGCACAAAGTCAAGTCTTGTGGAAATGTACACTGATCCCAAAGTAACATTGAACCTTTTAAGTACGAGAATGAGTATCTTGACACGCCTGTATATCAAATATATTCATTTGACATGTGTCATATCATTTATTTATAAAATGGTTTAATATGACTAGTTGAATAAAACTATTAATAGAATCCAAAAAGTATCATTTTAGTGTGAAAATAAAAAATTGTGTCAAAAGTATTATTATTCTTTAATTATAACTTAAGTATGTGTTTTTTTATCCCATTATTTTGATTTTTGAAAAAAAAAACTTTCGAGACCGTGAATTCAAAATTTTAAAGTAAATAATACTTCAAATTAAGTAATTTATCCTAATGACATGGAAAAAAAAGTTTTAAAATTAACTTTCCCTCTCTTAAGTTTCGATTGAAGACTTATTTCAATACACTAAATAATAATTTAAATACATTTATATCTTTCAATCCTCCAAAATATATTTTAAAAATAAAAGAATTACAAAAGATATGGACTTTGAAGCAGAAGGCATAGACTTTGAAACTGAAAATAACTGCATTATTAAAGTCAGCTAAAATTAATTACTATGTGTATTGACATGATTTTTTTTTTCAAAAAGAAATTTCTTATGTTAAGGATAAAGTAGGATAATTAACTCTCTTTTTATCTTAGTTCCTCCATCATTATCATCATTATTTTTATTGGTGTTATCACTACTCTTGTTAAAATTATTGTTGTTTTTATCGTCACTTGTATCAGATTTTTTAAGCTTCCATTATTATTGTTATGGTAGGAACCGCAATCACCACCTCCACACGGTTATTACAACAACCGCAGCCACTTGTTTCCAAAAAATTTCCCACTATATTTCCACGTTTTCAAATCAATCTTATCATTATCATCATCATCTTCTGTCATCATTATAATCATATCACCTTATCTTAACAATTTAACAATTATCATTAAAATTAGATTGTCATTAGAATTAGCGTTAAGATGTAATTATTGTCTACGATTGCAGTTCCATTATAACTACTTTCAATATTATTATTATCTCAAATATAAGGTGTATGTTCGAGGATATTTTGGTCAACGTATTTAGATGTATTTGACTTTTATTGTTTGAACATGTATTATGATGATTTGGTCGATTATGTATTGTTGTTTCTAATCTAAATATATTTTTTTTTAACATAAAAATGGCAAGACCATATTATAATTATTGTAATCTAAAGTTGTTTGGAATATTAATAGAATATTATGTATAGAAGAATTATGTAAAATTGTTGTATTTGGGTTAGGACACCCAAATTGTCCTACTATTTATATATATTTTATTGATAAAATTATTATTATTATTATTATTAGGCTTAATACCTCTTTTTGTCCCTTTTTATAACGAAATGTTCAAGTTCGTCCTACCTTTTTTAAAAAGTTTAATGTGGTCCCAAGTGTGAAAAAAATGTCCAATTAAATCCTTTTTGGTCATGGGTTAAATATTTAACGATCCAGCTGACAGCGTGAAGTAATCTGTGCAACGTGGCTGTTTACCTTCATAACGTGGGCAGTTGACGTGGCAGTGGCAGTGATTAAAAATTCTGATTTAGGGTTTGGGTATTCGAAATC